CATTATAAAAATCTGATGCAAGGTGTGGCCAGTTTGTTCAGTAGGATAAAAAATTAGACCCCAGATTGGGTGTTTGGGAGTACCATTTGCAGCTCCCAGCATATAACTTTAATGTTCTTTGTTTTGTTCAGATCATTTTATTTATTTTATTTGGTTCTAACTGATGAAAAGACTAAAATATTATTTTAATAAACTTGCTGTTGGGTTTATCTAGGCACAAACCCCGCTGGAACACGACACCAATAACTACATGACAAAACAAGACAAGACAGAGCTCTTTGTCTTTGTGGCTCGCGGGGGAAGTCAGCCCAGGCCTTCACCTGTCCTTAGCCAACTTCGACTTATTCCTTCGCTACAGCCCTTTTTATTGTCAGCAAGCAATCATTCATGAATATGCAATTGCAAATACACGTGACATTCTTAAGCAGGCATATCTGAACAACATCAGTGTCTGTATTCTGTGTGTGTGGGTGTGTGTAGGTGCATGTGTGTGTGTTCTTCCGGCCATACTATACATAGACATATGACTTTACAATGAACTTAAACTGTGTGTATGAGGTATGCAGAAAAACACAAGTAAGCGTCTTGCTAAACTATAAAAACAGAAACTTGCAATAGGTCATATCTCAAATGCACATTTAAAGGTGTGAAGTCTTGCACCTCAAGAAACAGAACAGTCTGGTTTCAAAAGCTATAATGGAATTATAACGTCGAGGCTGCTTCTTCTCATCTCATGGTACACAAATGCACACAGAATCTTATCAGACCTAATAAGGTTATGATTCTTATCAGCATACAAATGATTATATGTTTCTAAGCACAAATGCCAATATAAGAAATATCAATTCCAACACTTGCTCTTGCTAGAAAGTCTGCAAAAGACATTGAAGGAGAACTTACGTTGACATTGACAGTGGTCAACTATTTTTCAACAAACACAACACCACCAGCCAGAGGTTATGCTGTACCAAAAAGCATTCTTGAAAGGTGCTGCAGTAACTCAAACTACTTTAACATTTTATGAAGGTGACGTTGATTTGAACAAATCAAAAAAACGAACAAACAAACTAAAAAGGTGAAACAGTAAATGAGTGTTAAGTGATTTTTGAGGCCTATGACCTCCAGGAGCATAAACGGAAGATGCATTGTTGGGTTTGCTTCTATTGATTTAATTTAAAACTGAACACTTGCAAATAATCTGCTGGTGATGATGTGCTTATAAATTCAGATAAAACTGAAGTTATTGTACTCAGTCCTCAGTCAAATATTCAAAATATGATATCTAGCTAGATGCTTGGATGGCATTACCTTGGCCTCCAGTAACACTGTGCCCAAGCTCTTTTTGCAAATTGCAAAGCTTCTAATGAATGTATTATCTTTGTAGCCTTCAAGGGCAGGCAATTTATTACCATCTAAATGAAAAGAAATCTACTCTAAATGTTCAGTTCTTTGGTTATCAAGTATCTTATGTTAAAAAATTTAGTTTAAAATGATCAGAACAAAATCTCTGGTGTTAGTAAAATTATTATTACAAGCTTTAAATTCTGATATTGTGGTTTGCATTTATTTCCTAGTCACCAACACCAGACCTCCTCAGCTTCTCATCACCAAGGTGAAGCGGTTTGGAGGCTCCTCCTCCTTCATCAGGAGGTCCCAGTGGACAGTTGAACAACTCAAACAGGTCAACGGGATTAACCCCAACAAGGTCAACAGCAGTACCTGTTGTATCCTTACATTACATTTCATATGCATTCAGTTGTTTGCCAGCTTTGTTTGTTTTCCTGTGTCCTCCTCTTCAGGACAGCCCAGAGTTTGATTTGGTTTTTGACAATGCTGTGGACCAGTGGGTGGCTAGCTCCTCAGCAGACAAGTGTATTTTTGTCCAGATCCTTTACCACGCCTGTCAAACCCACTGGGAGGGGAAAGCAGGTGGTCTGGGAAAGTCAAGGAAAGTGGGAAAGGCAAGCCAGCAGGGACGAGTTGATAAATGTGATCAAGAACTGGCAGGAGCTGGTCACCCAGATACCTATGAATCCAAAAACCTAAAGGCACGACGGAAGAGCTTTGTTCTTCCCAAACACACAGAATTCATTAACTGCCAGTCCAAACTAACACAAGGTAGTGTCTCATGGTTACTGAGGTTATGATAAAAGTTATTTCTTAACAGATTTTTTGTTAAAATTTTGTTTTGTTGTAATGTGTTATGTTTGTTCATTTAGATGCCTGCACCATGAATCTGGTCATCTATCGCTGCAAAGCCTTCTTGAATCGTGTAAAAAACTTGATGGTTTCAAACCAAAGTCCCTCACCAGGTCAAGGTAAGGTAGTGACTAAAAGAACATATAGAGGTTTAGTGAAAAGAGGGTTTTGTCTGTATTATGGGAAACATGACATCCAAAGATTTCTTAATCTATACTGGTCTTCCCTTAGTACCCAGACTGAAGGTAGTTATATATCAAATTGCAGTTAATCTTTAAATCTGTCAATACTGCTAACCTGTAATACTTACAGCATGCTCTAATCTCTGTAATAAAATACTATAGTCAACAGTATCAAATGTTGCAGGGAGGTCTAGCAGAAAAAGTACAGAGATGAGTCCACTGTCATAAGAAGTTTATGTGTTCACTAAAGCTGTTTCTGTTCTGTGATGAGCTCTGAAACTTGACTGAAACAGACTCAAATAAACCACTGCCCACACTGCAGATGATCAGTAAGCTGTTTTACAACTAGTCTTATAAGAAAACCCTAACTCTTTGAGATAAAAAGAAGGTTGGAGATTAGCCTATAATTTTGCTAAAAAGCAAAATTTTGCTCTTCTAAATTAGTGAGACGTCATTTCCTCCCCAGCTTACGAGTTATCTGCTTTAAGGTACATGTTTGAGAGTTATACCAGGGAGTCAAGTACTTCTGATTTGATACTTTCTTTTTTTTAGAGCAACCCCAGTATCCAGAGTTGTACTCAGCCAAGATGTAAAATTATTAACAAGATAATCAAGTTCTGTGTAGCTGCTCTGCACTGTGTTGGCACAGTTGCCAAATTTTATTAGACTTTCAAATGAATTAAAACTTGGTCTGCCTGTTTCACTATAAACTGGCCTTGACCAGGTGCTCGCCCCAAGATTTCAGATAGAGGAGTGAAAAAAATTAAAGAAGAGTTGTCCAAGAGCCATAGACCACTTACGGAGCACTACAGAAAGAACAGGAACAGGCAGGTACAATTCCCTTTGCCTGTGTGCATGCTCACCAAGCCAGACATCATTGCGGAAGCGTGTTGAAGTCTTTGGATGCCATAATACACACCATGTTTGACGGTCAAAAGGCACTGCATATCAACCCAAAAAACACAACCCTTTGTAGCAATATATATCAACACCTTCATATAATTGAAGGAAGGATGAATTAAAAAATGTACTGAGACATTCTTGATAAAATCTGATGCCATCTACCCGGATGATGAAGATGAAATGAGGGTAGACACTTCAGCAAGACAATGATCCCAAACACACAGCCATGGATACTCTCAACTGGATTCAGAGAAAGGAAATAAAGCTGTGAGTGGCCTAGCCAATCACCTGACTTAAATCCAAGTGAAAATCTATGGAAAGAACTAAAGCTCAGAGTTCATTAAAGAGCCCACTGAATCTTCCAGATTTGAAGACTGTGTGGAAGAATGGGCCAAAATCACACCTGAGCAATGCATGTGACTAGTTACTCCACACATGAGGCGTCTTGAAGCTATCATCATCAACAAAGGATCTTGAACAAAGTATTAAATAAATTTCAGTAAGGGTGTTCAATAATTTTTCCCTGTGTCATTTCTCATTATTAGACATAATTTATGGACATCTATAGTTTGATTTCTTCGCATGTGTGGATTAGAATTGAATTTCATGCCAACAGTACCTTTAAATATATTTATTTAGATAGACCCTAAAATAATACATGCAAGCTGCAGGTGTTCAATACCTGTTTTACCTGCTATAAATTTAGCATAAAAGTGTTAACAATATGTCCCTATTGCCAGTCTTGGCATCCGGGGGTCAGTCCGCCAGGGCCTCCGCTCCTGGCCGCCACCCGGCACTGCACCGGTCCGTCGTGGTGAAGAGGGAGCTGAGTGTAAAAGCGAAGCTCTCAATTTACCGGTCGATCTACGTCCCTACCCTCA